ATACTATAAATTTACTTTAGGATAACAAAATGCATAGATCGTAACTACTCTGATTCAGAAGAATCACTGCTGACAGAATCTTCCAAATTTATAGTAGGTATCCAAATCACAGGTAGATGAAGTATCCTCACATATAAGATATTTCTGTACATTATTTTCTAATATGTTACTTTTTCGCGTTGTTACTGTTCTTTTTGTTGGTATGAGGGGTTCGGATGTTAATAGTTACCTCTTTAATAGACCATATCCATATATTATTTTTTCCTTTTCTTGGGTATCAGGTTTTATAATAAATTGAAAGATGGAAACTTTTTTATGCGACGTTTTGCTTCAACATAGTGGGCTTTTTCAGGCACAAGTGGTGTCTCATTTGACTGGAAGGTTCACCAATATTTAATAAAGAACACATTTTTTGAAATACAAACAATTTTGAGTTCTTGTTCTTATGATCAAGCTAAGTATTAACCAGATCGGCATTGCTTATCAATTTTACTCCATCTGAAAAGTATTATAAAATAAAGTTCGTCGCAAGCAGACGCAGGTGAACTATACAAAAATTAAAAGTGTATGAATATCACAACAAAAATATTCAATAAATACGATATGTTTTGATATGTTTATGAAAACCTAAAATTTTTATACCCATTTAGAAATCATCTTAAAAAATAAATAAAAACTAAACAATCACGAACTTGTTTAGAAATAAAATTATTATTTTAATAATTTATAAAAAATAATATACAGGATGGTTGAACATTGCTATAAGTATAAAATTACATATTCAGATATTAGTAAATTTTAACTTTTTTTTTCGATTTTTGTCCATGGGACGAAGCACTGTGCGTCGCGTCGGTCGTCTCGTCTATAATTAGTATAATTACACACCAATATCCCTTTATGCATGTAATCTATACTAATATATAAAATCTTTAAGTGACTGACATACTGATTAATCAGAATCCTGCTCAAACCACTCAACGTGAGAAGCTCAATTTTGGCATACAGGTTGATTCTAGGGTGTAGAGGTTCCATAAGAAGGGATTTTTCGAAATTCCAGTCCAAGAGGGTGAAACCACCCCTCAAATATTACAATATTTTTTATTTAAAAAACGGCCAAGTTTCCGAAAAAACGCTTAAACACGTATATTTTATTTTGTTTTTTTACATATTTTAAGGTTTTTTAAAAATGTATACAGGGTGTTTCGAAAAATCTGGTCATTGATTAATCACGATCCTGCTTAAAGCGCTTGACGTAAAAAGCTGATTTTTGGAAAACAGATTGACTTTAGGGTGTAGAGGTTCGATAAGAAGGGATTTTTGGAAACTCGAATTCTAAGGGGGTGAAACTATCTCTCAAATATTAAAATATTTTTTATTTAAAAACCGGTGAGTTTTTCGGAAAAACTCTTAAACACGTATATTTTATTTTGTTGTTTTACATATTTCAAGATTTTTTATAAATTTATACAGGGTGTTTCATAAAATATTACCATTGTAATCACGATTCTGCTTAAACTGTTTGACGTTTAAAGCTGATTTTTGGCAAACGGATTGACTGTGGGGTGTAAAGGTTCGATAAGGAGGGGTTCTCGAATCTCAAATTCCAAGAGGGTGAAAACGCCCCTCCAATATTACAATATTCGTTATTTAAAAAAACGGTTAGTCTTTCGGGAAAACGCTCGGACAAGCATAATTTATTTGTTCTTTTTACATATTTTGAAATTTTCTAAAAAATCATACAGGGTGTTCCAAAATGTTAGGTAATTTCTTAATAACTTACAATATTTTTTATTTAAAAAACGGTCAAGTTTCCGAAAAAACGCTTAAACACGTATATTTTATTTTGTTTTTTTACATATTTTAAGATTTTTTAAAAATGTATACAGGGTGTTTCGAAAAATCTGGTCATTGATTAATCACGATCCTGCTTAAACTGCTTGACGTAAAAAGCTTATTTTTGGCAAACGGATTTTTCGAAAGTCAAATTCCAACGAGATGAAACTACCCCTCAAAAAATATTACCAAGTTATAAAATAATATCGCCATATTGTTTTTCTCATGCTGACATAAATGTCAGAAAATTTTATTCAGTTTGTATGTTAATGGAAATTCTTGCTGTGCTTTATCATCACCATTACAAATGATTAATTCGACGCGAACGAAGTCGCTGGTACATGCTAGTACAATATATTATTTTATTGTTGTGCCAGCTCGTTTGAATATTCTGCGGAATGGCGGGCGCTTTTTCATTTGTGTGTTCTTTATGTGTTCAATGTATGTATGTACGTATGTACCTACTCTAGTAGTCTTGAATAAAAAGTTTTTTTGTCGTAAATTGTGACTTTTTTTTTGCACTAAAAATATTTTATTATTGTACTATATGTGCATTATCGTTCGCAACACAGAAGGTGTGCGAAACGATAATACTTTTTAAAACTCATGAAAACGCGCAAGCGCGGACCATATATAGACCATACAAAAAAATATAAATGACAAGTTTTACCGCAAAAATATAATGAAATAAGTCCAAACAGCGTGGAAAAGGGTTATAATTATTAAAACAAAAAATTAATATGTAATTTCATGATCGATATATTTTGTGTGGGTTAAATTCCAAAATGAAAAGTTTGATTTTTAGATCAATTTTTTTTCATCATACATTGATTGACAAATGACAAATGATAAGTTTGAATTGAAATGGATACACAATGAATTAAACATACATTATAATACAATTTTGTTAAAAATGTTACAGCAGTCGCATAATCAAACGTCGGTACACGGACAACGGCATTACTCAGAGTATTATGTAGGGCAGTAGTCCCCGGATTATATGGTATGGTCAAAGATACAATTTTATTCATCAAATATAAATTACTGTTACGCCGAATTTGATTGAATGCGTTTTTGTTTTGCTTGACGAAAAACTGACACTGCTGCTCTGTAAATAGACCTGCGTGTTGTAAGTGTACCGACATTTGATTATGCGAATAGCCAATCGGCGTGACAATAGACTCCTTTTTACTTAAGCTACAATTTATGTAATAATTAGAACAATCTTCACCGTTTAATGTTGATGTAAACACTAAATCAAATGTAATTGGTTCACTATTGTTGTGCCACAGAGCAATTGACCCTGTTATGCTGTTCAATCCACCAATCGTCAAGATGGAGTCGTTATTTTGGGAGCTGGCGATACTCTTGGCGTCGATTGTATTGGCGTCGAGTTGTCATTTCATTTTCATTGGCGGCGGCGCAGTCAGTGTTGTCGCCTTCGTACTTGAATGCATATTCAAATAATCCTGCAATGTCATCATCATTCAATGCCATCTCAAAAGTAATTTTCACTGCGCCAATTTGCAGCAGCTTTGCACTTTCAATTTGCGGACAATTAGTTATATATCGGATCTTGTAGCCAAAGAACGACTCCACCACGCGATCCAAATGGGCACAACAAAGCCGGTACAAACGAACACTTGATTTTTCGCTCGTTTTCAACTGTTTTTCGTCACATATTTGTTGCATTACCATGTACAGGGTGGGTCAAATTCGACGCTTTTAAATGGAAACACCCTTTTCTATAGGAGATAGACGAAAACTAATATCGGTGTCTGGAGCTCAATTTTCATCAAAAACATGATGGTGAAAACCGCACATCAATATCTGTTACCGTTTCGGAGTTACGGGGTGTTTTTCAAAAATGTGCATTTTTAACAAATCGCTGTAACTTTTTTACTATGGAAAATTTTGTATTTCTATGAAAACATTTCCAAAGTACCTTTTTACGTAGAATTTAATGGTTTAAGTATAATTTTTTTTAAATTGATAATTTAAGAGTTATCAACGGAAAAATAGATTTTTTATTTGGGACACGCTCTATATTTTTAATGAACTGAAAAGAATTTAAAATTACCTTTCCAAAAATATAGCACACTTGATATTTTGTTATAATCCCCTTCAAAATACAGAATTTTTAAAAATTCGCCACTTTTAACTAGTAGGCTTTGGACCCCTTATTGATGATATGCCCTTAATGGAACTCGAAAACATATTTTCCAGCAAGACGACGCACAGCCTCTGAACGCTGAAGTTATCAGCAAATTTTTGCAGCCAATTTCAAGAATAATTGAATAGCTAACCAAGATCCCAGCCGTTGGCCGTCGAGGCCGCCTGACTTAGTGCCCATGGATCTAATCCTATGGATATATTTGAGGAAGAACAAAGGTTCCTTATTCTTCTGTATAATCTAGACAAGAATTATAAATATTTAGCAGTTATGAGAGGATATCTTTCACCCCCACTGAGTTATTGAATTTCGCGAGAAATGTTCAAAAACTGCCCCGTCTGTCCATAACAGAAGACGGTCGATATGTTGAACACCTGTAGCAAAATCTCATGTCTTGGTTTGCTATTTATTTTTATTGTTATTAAATATAGTTTAAATGTGTTGATGATGGTTAAAGATATTTTATATTGTAATAAAATTCTGCATCTCTCATAGCAAATATTATTTTCGTTTTAATTGATGCTCACAGCTAGAATTTTTTTGCATTACAGCCGGTGCCGTTCAAAGCCTACTTATTTAAAGCGGGCGAATTTTTATATACTCTATATCTCGAAGAGGAATCGAGCAAAATATCAAGTGTGTTATATTTTTGGAAAGGTAATTTTAAATTCTTTTTAATAAATTAAAAATATACAGGGTGTCCTATATAAAAAATCAAATTTTCTGTTGATAATTCTTAAATTATTAATTAAAAAAAAAATATACTTAAACCATTAAATTTTACGTAAAAAGGTGCTTTGGAAATGTTTTCATAAAAATACAAAATTTTCCATAGCAAAAAAGTTACAGCAATTTGTTAAAAATGCATATTTTTGAAAAACACCCCGTAACTCCGAAACGGTAACAGATATCGATATGCGGTTTTCACCGTCATGTTTTTGACAAAAATTGAGCTCCAGACACCGATATTAGTTTTTGTCTATCTCCTATAGGAAAGGCTGCTTCCATTTAAAAGCGTCGAATTTGACCCACCCTGTACATGTGAAGAGACTTTTTTCTCGGAAAACCATTCTGTAGAAAACGGCGCGCGGCGTCGTCGTAGTCGCCGAGTTGGCTGAGATGAGTCTCGGAATAAATGCGTACAATTTCCTGCAAAATTTTCATCTCCAATGAAGCCTTTGACATAAATTCTTTAACGTTGCTGCCCACAAAAGGTCCATAAAATTCACATGGCTGCTGGTGCACTGCAGTTAAATAGTTTACCGTGTTTGTGTGGTACTCGATGTTGTTACTTTCATTGCTGTTACTTTCATAGCTGTTGTTGGTGGTGGGCATTGCATTATATTCAGCTTCATATTCAGCGATGGTGGCGTTGTTGTGTAAAAATTGGTAGATTTCATTTGTTACAGATGTCGGGTCCTCTGAATATTTTTCCTGCTGTGGAAATGAGAATGGCGAAGAATCCATGTCTTCAGCGTTGTAAAAGCAGGACCCAAAGTCCAACAACTCCACGGCACTGGCAGTGTTGGCGGTGTTAGTCTGGTTGGTGTGGTTGGTGTCTTCTAGTGTCCAGGTTGGCGGCGAAATATATGAATTATCAATGCTGAAGTCAATGAAGCTTGAGAGCAGCGAATCTGTCGCTGTGACACGTAAGTTGCCCATGGCCTGTAACAAAAATATACACTCATTAACATAATATTTAGTTCATTCTGTGGGTAAGTCACTTGTAATAGATATTTATGGATTTACGAGTACTTACATTTCTAGTGTGGTACTCCGTGAGCACGTCAGGAAAATCGGTTAAATCTCGCCTTGTCTTTTCTGCTATATTATCGGTCTCCTAAATATCAAATTGGTTGTTGATATCAACACCGAACATTGGATCGAACAGAAGGTATAATACTGAATATATATTTTATATAATTACTTGATGATGTATACACAATATACTAATAGTATTGGTAGTTGCTAGAAAGAGTAGATGTCAAAGTAGATTTGGTGTTATTAAAAGTAGAAAAATTTAAGGTAGAATATAGAGGTAGACGACAAGAAAGTTTTTGATGATACGCCAAGAGAAAGACTGTAAGCCAGAGCTGAGCTGATGTCACTGGCAGAAATGAATAGAGCGTACCACCGTCAAAAAAAATACAACGTCATATGCCACTACCACCACCACCGTTCAACTAAATACCACAACCGGATCTATAAAGTGTATAAAAACACTAAACACTAAACATATTCAACAGGCGACAGGATTTAACTTCTATCCCCTCTCTTTCTTCAGCAGCACGCCGCTCAGATTACGAAGTCAAGTGGTTGGTTAATATGCGCGCTGTATGTGTATGTTATGTATGTGACAGTTTGTGTCCCCATCTGATTTAGTGTCGAGTGTCGACGCATCGATAAGTGGTTCACGGAATACGATCCGTTAGGCCTAGACTATATATGAAACTATAATGAGAGTAAGTATCTATTTTTCTTAAGAGCGACCCTGCGAGGTCCCATTCTACCCTAATGTAGGTAGATTCATCTTGACCGTCGTAACGTACACAGCGTTTTGCAACTTATTGTTTTTCGCTTTCTAACATCGTCACTTTCTAAAATCAAGGCGCGGCACGGCGCCGTGACCTCGGACCTTTAATAAGGCTATGGCGTTGTCAGACTGTTTTTTTTCTAGAATGCATTGTTGCGTTTTGTAAAAAATGTATTCCCAATTTAAATAATACTTATTCTGCGGCACAGCTTTTTTGTAGTGATTCATTAAACGCATGCGCTCTGCATTCGGTCCCTTTAAATAAGATATTTTTAAGGGACCAAATGCATCCTTGTTTTAATTATGTTTCTCCGTCTTATTGAAAAATATGTGTTAATATGTAGCAATAATATAAATTATAGATCGGTAAGGTTATTATTTTAGTAAGTAGTGTGTGTAGTGCGAATATTAATATAGTTATAATATAGTAAGTATTTAATAAGTATTGTGTATTAATATTTAATCTCGTATTTTATGTTTCTATTATACCAATTTTATATGGGTGAGTCTTAAATAGGTGCAAATATTTTTAGGGGTAGTATATTTCGATCCCAGAAACACGATTGAGGTTTTTTCGCGAGATTTTTTTTGTAAATTTGGAATTTTTTGAAAAAATTTTGCAATTTTTTTTATTTTAGTTAAAAAACATATTTTTTTGATAATATGGCAACATTGGTAGTAGATTAAATTTACAAGAAAAAAAAACTCCGAAAAGTCAAATTTTAGCAAAAATCATTTTTTTTTGGAAATTTTGGAAGTAAAATAACTCCATTTTATTTTGGACTTATTTGAATTATTTTGGACTTATTTGAAAAACGGTAAAGAAAAAATAATATGTTCCTTTTATCGAGGTCTACCGACCCTGAAAATATATGCACTTATTTAAGACTCACTCTGTATATTAGTAATAAATTAAATATTGAATCGTGTGATTCAATTCACTAAAAAGAATCATAATTTGAAAAACTAGCTGTTGCCCTCAGCCAAACACCCAAACCTTTGCTATTTTGCTGTCATAACATTAAGATGATAGGTAACTATTTTATTAAATATTATCTTATTCTTAGAATTACTTATGTCAATATTAGATTATATGTCGTATTGTTGATTATCTACCCAGATAAATCTCGCTACAAGCTTTTATAGCATATTAATTGTGTAAGGTTGTGACAAATCTATACTAATATATAAAATCCTTAAGTGACTGACATACTGATTAATCACGATCCTGCTCAAACCACTCAACGTAAGAAGCTCAATTTTGGCATACAGGTTAATTCTAGGGTGTAGAGGTTCGATGAGAAGGGATTTTTCGAAATTCCAGTTCCAAGTGGCTGAAACCACCCTTCAAATATTACAATATTTTTTATTTAAAAAACGGTCAAGTTTCCGAAAAAACGCTTAAACACGTATATTTTATTTTGTTTTTTTTTACATATTTTAAGATTTTTTAAAAATGTATACAGGGTGTTTCAAAAAATCTGGTCATTGATTAATCACGATCCTGCTTAAAGCGCTTGACGTAAAAAACTGATTTTTGGAAAACAGATTGACTTTAGGGTGTAGAGGTTCGATAAGAAGGGATTTTTCGAAACTCGAATTCTAAGGGAGTGAAACTATCCCTCAAATATTTAAATATTTTTTATTTAAAAACCGGTGAGTTTTTCGGAAAAACTCTTAAACACGTATATTTTATTTTGTTGTTTTACATATTTTAAGATTTTTTATAAATTTATACAGGGTGGTTCATAAAATATGACCACTGAGTAATCACGATTCTGCTTAAACTGCTTGACGTTTAAAGTTGATTTTTGGCAAACGGTTGACTATGGGGTGTAGAGGTTCGATAAGGAGGGGTTTCTCGAATCTCAAATTCCAAGAGGGTGAAAACGCCCCTCAAATATTACAATATTTGTTATTTAAAAAACGGTTAGTTTTTCGGAAAAACGCTTGGACAAGCATAATTTATTTGGCTTTTTTACATATTTTGAAATTTTTTAAAAAATCATACAGGGTGTTCCAAAAAGTTGGGTAATTTCTTAACCATGATTCTGCTTAAACTGCTTGACGTAAAAACCTTATTTTTGGCAAACGGATTTTTCGAAAGTCAAATTCCAACGAGATGAAACAGGAGTAGTTTCTTCGTTCCAAACCAAACCAAACCAAACCAAATATTACCAAGTTATATAATAATATCGCCATATTGTTTTTTCTCATGCTGACATAAATGTGAGAAAATTTTATCCAGTTTGTATGTTAATGGAAATTCTTGCTTTGCTTTATCATCACCATTAGAAATGATTAATTCGACGCGAACGAAGTCGCTGGTACACGCTAGTAGATATATAAAGTCGCTGTGATAAACTTCCCCCTCCCATACATTTTACATATTCCGTGTATTATAAATTAGGATATTTACACATTCCCACTTTATTTTGAACTACCCTATGACCTTTTATATTAATCCATTAAAAACACTTAAATAAAACTAGACATTGTATTACAGTCAAAAATCTTTTGCATAAAATTCATAAAAAAGGAACTTTAACCTTTTACTACTTTATGAATATCTACTAATTATCATTTATAAATTCTGCAATTTGTAGAAATAGTTAAGTGACAGTTTTGAGAAAGTTATGTGATTATTTGTACAAACATTGTTCAGCATGCTTTGAAACAATATTCGAAAAAGATAAAATTTAGAAAAAATGTGGATATTAATGTAAAAATATTTTCGTAGATATTATTCGAGATATCTTAATATCCATAATTATATCTCACTTATCAATTATTTTTGAGTTTTTATAAGCCTCTTTTTATAAACTTTAAAAAAATTAATCCATTAAGGACAACCGTTTTCAAATTGCTAATGGAAATTACCAGATGTTTTTAGCGATTTAGGTAAATTATCTCGTACAAAACTCGCTGTCTTGATGTTATTAAAAAAATATCAACTACTTTGAGTTATGTATACCGTGTAGTCTAAAATATAAACCAACATATTTATTTGTAAGTTTATTGCTTAATGACAACGGGGCAAGGGAATAAAAATGATTATTTGTTAACAATCTTAAAATCTCTACTCAATTTATTAACAATAATAGTGGCAATTTTCCTTTATATTAAATACTTATATTTCAATATTACTAAATGACAAGTATTACTACTCATATCCCATGCTATCGACATCGACCCTAATTCTTTAATCTGCTTTTATTCATGCTTCCTATTACTACTCCAATTATTTTTAATCAATTTGCTCGTTGGAATTTGATTAGGATTTTCCTTATTCAATCAATTGGCGTTTTCCGAAGAACCAATGAAAATTAAAAGCAGATATAAATCTACTCGTTTTCTTAATATTTGACTGACTTATTTGTATTGGTTACCGTAAAAGGTAGATGTTGAACTCTCGGTTGAACTTTAATTCATCATCATCATCATTTTCAGCTTATTCAACCATTTCCAATTATGGTGTAGCCTCCATCACATATTTAGATACTCTCTTTGTAGTTGAGCCCATTGTTGCCCACTGCCCATTGCCATTTGATGGATTTGACTCTGTGGATGACATCCATTACCTGAGTATGACATCCATTCTCACAACTATCCACTTAGGAATGCGGAGCACGATATTTATCTGCCAACCCCGAGCTCAGAACTAATTAAGGGCTTAATACTGTACAATGCTAGGAAAATGTACGATCATTTGCCTTCGATTTAGGGCTGCACCGAGTACCGAGTAGTTCGGTGCTCGGCCAGAATTTTAACTGAGTAATCGGCCTTACTCGGTCGAGTAGGCCGAGTAAAGTATAGTAATATAAACAATCCATTTATGCATGTCCAAAACAGATAGAAATGAGACTCACAGTGACAATAAAATAAACAAAAAGTTATTCATTCATAACTTTAATTAATGTATTTTAGCAAAGTAATAATAATAAGTATAAGTAATAACACAAACACAGTGAAATAATAATTTAATACTTATAATCTAAAAGAGGTCAGCACTCACTCGTTTTAATATAACTTTAAAGGGTATTATTAATGGTTTGAATTATTTTTCACTTTTAAATTAGTTACACATATAAGATTTGCTTAAAACAAAATCAACGTCGCCATCGCACCTTAAAAGAATCAATTCAGAATCCAGTACATTAGAAATATCAGTTTGCATGGGGAACCACAGAATAAAACAATATCTCCATAAGTAAAACAAACCAGGTCATTGGTTTGTAGTCGGGGAATCCCAGCCGTTCGCCAATCATAGGCAAAACAAACAAGATCATTGGTTTAAGGCCGGGGAATTCCGGAAATTTTAACTACATAGCTTTCTTTAATGTTAAATTATATATTTATATTTATATTATGTATAAAATATAATATTATTATGTTATGATGCATAGTATAATTAGTATATATTGATAAAGGTCGCATAACTGTTAAGACTATTAAAAACCCGACAATTCCACTACTCGGCAGCTGAGTACTAGGTGTACTCGGCCATTACCTTTAGCCGAGTACTCGGTACTCGGTCAAGTGAAAAGACAGCGCTCGTTACAGCCCTACTTCGAATATCAAGTCACTTTCATTCTTTCCCGCATTTCGCAAAGCTCTGAAATCATACTTACTGGAGAGAGCCATATATGCGGTAAAGGACTTTTTTGTTGATGTTTAATCATGAACAATTTTGAATTTTAAAATTTTGATCATCTCACACAC